TATAGTTCAGCACATAAAGCAGGTAATTCAAAATTGATACATGGCTGTCCAGTCCTAAAGCCAGACTTCAGGGCAGCATTCATATTCACAAGATGTGGTAAAAACACTGACATGTCTTCATATAATTGTAGATTTTCACGGAATTCTGCATAAACAAAAAAATAGATTATGTTAAATTTTTGACATATTTTGTTACAGTGCCTGCATTTACACAACTTATGAAAGCATGCTTTACTGAAGCATACTTCTAGGGATTATATTTTTAGTTGGTTTTAAATAACTTGATAACTTTGATAAAAAACACTGGAGTGCTAAAATATTAGGGTTGTACAAACCCATTTGTTTACCTAATCATACCTACCAGAAAGTCTGTGGAAATAATAAATTCCATTTATTACTCGTTAGGCTTAACTACAGATTACAGCCCCGATCGGAAACTATTAGGGAATATACCCTGTTCACAAAGAACACCTTAGGGTAGCATTCCCTATAGAAAAAAGGCCTCTTCTAAGGGGTCACCCTTAGGGTGCTCACGCTTGTGAGGCCTGATCTGATCATTCTCACAAATGTTTCCGCTGCACCAACGGGCCGTCGGAAGTTTGTAGGGAGGTGGGCAGGTTCCACAGACTTTCTGGTAGGTATGATTAGGTAAACAAAAAGTTTGTACAACCCTAGTAGTTTACTACATCACCTACCAGAAAGTCTGTGGAAATAATAAATTTCATTTATTACTCATTAGGCAGAGTAGCACGCTCACCGGAGGTAGGGAAGCTCCGACGGCTGAAATGTATATTTCGCGACAGGATAAACCACTTAGGCGACTCTTCAAGGACCGAGTGCCTCGAAAGTAGACCCCCCAATATGGGGAGGCTTACTAAAGCTGGTCGACTGAACAATAAAATAGGGCCCCAACAATTTTAATGAATCAAAACAGTGTATTGCTGGGGTTCGATAGCGCCGAACAAAACCGGCAGCATCAAGCAAAAGAGGCTGGTCTCGACTGAAGACACTATCATGCTAACGCTTTCGCGCATAGAGCCCCTTGGTGGTGCAGGCCGGCCAACAAACACTGTCTGACTCGTCACCACTGGACCCAATCTGTAGAGACCCTCCTGCAGCGCTTGAAGGTCTCTCAGGTAATAGTTAATGAAGACATTCTGAGATCTCCAGAACCCTGCTTGAAGCATCTGCTCGAGCATGGCCCCAGACATCAAAGCCAATGAGTTAGCTACCCAGCGCACCTGGTGGCATTAAGCTTTATTCAAAGTAATTCAGATATTTTAGTATAAAAATTAACAAATGCCTCATCGCAGAAAAAAAGTGCTGCATTTAGATGTGAATAGATTCATAAAACATGCAAAATAACAAAAAATCTTAGCTGGCTTTTGTCCAAGTATTTTGTACAGGTTTCTGTAAAAAAATAATGATTCACTGAGACAAATATGAACTGCCTCATTGTGTGACTACTGTATTATATGAAAAGTGAAAAAAAAAACACCCTCTATGAATAGCTACATGTATCATGTTGCAGTATGCAAATCAACTTAAATAGTTAGTTGGTGTCCAGTGGAGGGAGAAGTCAACAGTACTGTTGCTTCTTGAGAATCTACATCTTCAAACACTGCAATCTTTGTTTATGAAGTGCGTTTTTAAACCAGTATTATAAAAACTCTATCATTCTGTTCTAATAGCTGAAACATATTCCTGTGAGTTTTCATTTTCCAAATGAACTGTTTGTCAAATACAGAATACATATATTTTAGTACAATTTTCTTTTCAAAATATGGATGCAATATTTTGCTTTTTATGTGTTTTTTATGTATTGTTTTTGATTTGATATCTTTGAACTAAACTGATTTTCTATTAGCTTCAGATCTTGATCAAAGTTTGGCACCCAGTTCATAGGAGTGCTTGTATTGATTTTCTGACATCTTGTTTTCTGTAAAGATTTGACTGTGCAAAAAATCTCTCCAGAGTTGGTTTTGAAACCCAGTATAGTATTCCCATGGGATTTGGGGGATACATTACCAAGGATATTATTACAAGATAAATGATTTGCTTCATTGAACACATACATGTACAACAATGCATATTTCCACTGAGATCAGTGACCTTTGATGTGTATCACCAGTGATCACCAGTCAAGCAGAAACAGTCAAAATATGTTATCAGATTATCTCAATTTTTGCATGATATTTTAATACAGGACATCTGTTGTTCAAACTCAGGGAAGACTTTATACTGATGAATACGGTGACCAAGTTTTATGAAGTTTGGAATAGAATTAGTAAAGTTATTATGCACACAATAACAATTATTAACGACAACGATGACAACAACAATAACAACGACAACGCCGGACAAAATTTTTCCCTTAATATACCTTTCCCTACCATGATGCATTCGTGTCAATCGCACATGCTCCATTAAACCTCCCTGTCTTGGTTGTGTAATAACGAGGAAGATGTGGGAAAGAACCTGGCAATAAATGGGGGTTCCCCACTTGGGGTTTCTCCAGAAGGCTTGCTAGACCCTGTCGGAATGTCTCCGCCTTGACCTCAGGAGTCAGAGGAGGAGGAGACCGAAAAGGAATCTGATACCCACGCGACACTACTTTGAGCGTCCAGGGATCAGAAACTCTCCTGTGGCAAGCTTGTATGTGCTGCATAAGGCGGGGTCCCACAGGAAGGAGCGGACAGGGATTTAGAGCTAGTGCTTCCTGAACTCCAGCCTCCTGTATGGGAGGAGGAAGAGAGAGAGACTGAGCTGGAGGACTCCAGGAAGGGAGACCCGGAGTCGTACCACATCCATGTCCAGGCAGCCGGCGAAACCTTCAAAGAGACTTCAAGGCCCCCAAAAGTGTCAGAATGCCCACAACCAATGCCACGTTTCTTTGGCTATCTCTGGCGTTTCCCGCTACTAGTCTTCTCCTGTCCCTTCGAAGGAGACCATGAGAGCTTTGATCCTCGCTGGTTGTGGCCCGAGTGAAGGACTCACAGTCTGGGCTGCCTTGTGGTTTTGTTTGAACCGTTGACCCAAAGTACTCAAATAGCCTGTCACGCCCCGAAGCTTCTCCGCAGGCGATCAAACTTGTCTCCAAGAAGGCAGTATGGACTTACAAGATATCTCACATAGCGACTCTCTGAGGATCGAGATTCGTTGTTGAGCACTGTCAGAGCGGTCGGTCAGAACTTAGCAAGGTGAGCTGACGCTCTAACACTAAAGAAGCTCATTCTATAAAATTGATGGGTCTAACTTCCGCCCGTAAAACCTGATGCACTTGTAGGCTCTGGCGCCAGTCAAATATGGCCTTCCTGATCCACACTACCCACCTTAACAAAGGTATGCGTACCGGGATCAGGACGGGGAACCCGTGGAGCAGGCTGTGGTACCGTGTGAGTGTCCCACACCAATTCATTCAATGGAAGGCATTAGACATGGCCACTCTGAAACCAGGTAAAAGCTGTTTGTCCTTTTCTCTCGAAGGGTACCAATCGCCTCCCTCCATCGACCTCTGAGCCCCCTCCAGCTTGGGCCACACAAGGCACCCAGGGGAGTTGGCTAGCGGGCATGGTCTCCAGGCCGGCAGTGGGAGAGGAGAGCGCCAATGAAAATGGGTCCAAAGGCAACTCTCCCATGGGATTACCACCGACCCCATACAAAATCAGAGTCTCGCTGCCATCACTGCCCGGTTCACAAGCTGCGACCTTAACTAACTGCATATTAGTAAGGGACAGCTGGGCTCTAGTTGGTTGGGTATCTTGTGACTGCCCCGATAAAGTGGGGACAAGAGACGACAAAGCTCTCGCCCCCCCTCCTGTTGGGGAAGTGGTAGCTGCACCCCATAAGAGGGTTGCATACCACCCTGTACAGGGGTACCAACACTGGAGTCCCCTCCCCTTGCAGAGTCATAAATAGGGAAACTTTGTGCGGCTTGGTAAGATGCAGGAAACGATGTCTGGTCAACCCGAGCCTGAGGGAGGTGTGGGGAATATGGAAAAGGACACAAAAGGCGATCTGTTCCAGGGAGAGGGACCCCCTATAAAAGAAGTGGACGCTGCCCTTCCCACTGATGTGAATTGTCCCTCCACTGACCCTCTAAAGAAGAGATCACTGGGAGAATGGGACACACCTGTCCCTAGCCCTGGTGGTGGAGATACAGGCAGTATCTCAATCGTCGACCCGGCTACCCCGAGCAGGGAGTCAGATCGTGACAACTCTCCAACAATCTTGGCAATTACCAAGTGGAGGAGAGATTTTTTTCACTCATTGAATCAGACATTACATCGCTAGCTTGTGACTATTACCATTGGATTATTACCAGCTTTTAATCGTTTGCCTTCACCTTTCCACCTCGCCTCGCAATGCAACTACGTTTTAGGATCCCATCGATTGCATAGACCCTCTTTGGCAATGCCCCGAGTCCCTGACAGAAACCAAGATATGAATGGCAACATGCGGGTCCCAAACAGGCATTTGTTTAAAGCGTGGTAGTCGTCGCGCGACTTTGACTGTTGCACAGATCAACAAGTACAGACTGAGATGTTTCCATGCTTTAATTAGGCAATTTTCATACGCTGGAAGGTATCAAAAAAGTTACCAGTGGTCATCAGTGGAAATCGCACCCAGGTCAAATCTCATACTTGTGACTTCCATTTGAAGAGCGCATTGGATTGTGAGAAAATCAATGTTTATCAACACAACTACCACGACAACTACCACGCTTTAAGGCAGGATGAGCATGTCTTACGTCTTGACTTAGGCATATTGCAGTCTGAAAAAATTACGAAAATGAGATCGTGAAAAGACAAGAAAATTCCCTGCGCCAAAATTCAGAATCCGGGTGAATAAAAACTGAGCCAGCGATTCAACTAAAACAGGTAAAAAATGGGGCCCCTAATAATGGAAAGCCTTTACCGTAATGGAGTTGATCACTAACACTAGATTCCTAGATAATCATAAAACTATAACCTGCATAGCAGCAGAGCTGAAAAATATCTGTACGCATTGGTCGCCGAAACAAGAGAGAATGGTCGGATCAGGCCTCACGAGCGTAAGCATCCTGAGGATGACCCCTTAGGAGAGGCCTTTTTTTCTATAGGAAATGCTACCCTAAGGTGTTCTTTGTGAACAGGGTATATTCCCTAATAGTTTCCGATCGAGGCTGTAATCTGTAGTTAAGCCTAATGAGTAATAAATGGAATTTATTATTTCCACAGGCTTTCTGGTAGGTGATGCAGTAAACTGCTTAATGAGAAAGAGTTCACAGGGTTGCATTATCTAATTATTATGATTTGATAAAAAAACACTGGAGTGCTAAAATGATTAATGAGAAAGAGTTCACAGAGTCGCATTATCTAATTATTATTTACTTTCAAACCCCATTTTTAGTCTGTTTACAAAATGTAACATTATCTTCTTTTCATTTCATAATAGACAAGGACAAAAGAAGAAATATCAAGTCATTGTAGTTCCCATTTATATTATAAATGCAAGTCATATATATATCTATGACCTTATGTGTGTTGTAATAAGTTTTGATTGGTCCAGGCATGTTTTTAAGATATAGATCTGTGGAACTGCATTCGTTCAAACAAGATGACTGTCAGTCAGCCATTTTGAATATGATGGTGACAAAAATGCATGTGAGTTTGTCCAATAAGTTTGAAATTGATTGGTCCAGGCATGTTAGATACATGTATATGGATCCGAAACTGCATTTTTGGTCCTATTGAACTCAATCCAAAAACTAAATAATTATAAAATAAACATTAGCTATTCACTGTCAAGACAATTACAGTTGTAGACAAACCACAAACTTTGGTTGACAGCAGAGCTAACAAAGATGGAAAGAAAATCCATCCATACTAATCGTCAAATAATTTTATCAAAATCAAAAATAAATGAAATCTGAAGATACTCTATTACAATTGTAGACAAACTACAAACTTTGGTTGACAGCAGAGCTAACAAAGATGGAAAGAAAATCCATCCATACTAATCGTCAAATAATTTTATCAAAATCAAAAATAAGTGAAATCTGAAGATACTCTATTACAGTTGTAGACAAACTACAAACTTTGATTGACAGCAGAGCTAACAAAGATGGAAAGAAAATCCATCCATACTAATCGTCAAATAATTTTATCAAAATCAAAAATAAGTGAAATCTGAAGATACTCTATTACAGTTGTAGACAAACTACAAACTTTGATTGACAGCAGAGCTAACAAAGATGGAAAGAAAATCCATCCACACTACCAGTAATAGTCAAATAATTTTATCAAAATCAAAAATAAGTGAAATCTGAAGATACTCTACAAAATCCTGGTACTGACAAATGTGTTCAGGTGGATTTCCAAAATATAAATGTTATTGTGCAATGCATAATGCTTAAGTTTAGTGCAATATTTTGAACATTTTTACATATTTTTCAACAATTTCTTAATTAAATTTGAAAGTTTTTCTAAAATTTCATAAAAAGTTATCTAAAAACTAGAAGTATGTCAAGGTTGTATGACTTGGGCATGATGCATATAAAGCATTTCCCTTACCAAGTACTTCTTGTTTCAAAGCACGTTGTGCGATATTATTCAATTTCTCCACTGCTTTCCTGTTTGTTAACTGAGGTACATCTGATGAGAAAAATAATATTGTAAATTGTTATACATAAAACATTGAAAAACTATTTTTTTTTAATTTGTTAAAATAAGATATAATTTAAAACAAGACATGAATGTCACAGTCCCCTTCATTTAATTACAATCAGTCTCTCGGCTCCGCTGTTATCAATGCACATTGCAATTAAAGAACAGAAGATATCATTCGAGAAAATGAACAATATGTATAGTATCAAAGCAATCGGACTTGCTGTTTTCACAGAATTCAAAAATATTCATCAAATGAGAGAATTGAAGATATCGCTATGAAATGAACAAATCTGAGAGAGGTCCAAACGTAGTACCTAACGTTTAATAACAAAGCAATTGCGAACTTGCGGTTTTTAACAAAAAGTCGTAAATATCACTTTTTACCAAAAATGACAAAAATATTCACCAAAATTAGAGAATTGAAGATATCATCACAAAATGAACAAATCTGTGAGAGGTCCACATGTAGTACCTATATATGTAATATCAAAGCAATTGGACTTGCGGTTTTTAACAAGAAGTTGAAAATATCACATTTTCCCAAAATGACAAAAATATTCACCAAAATTAGAGAATTGAAGATATCATCATGAAATGAACAAATCTAAGAGAGGTCCACCCAAGGTACATATACACCAAGTATCAAAGCATTCAGGCTTGTAGTTTTCAAGAAGAAGTCGAAAAAGTAAAACATTGACACAGACGACGACAGCGGAGCTAATAAAAAGCAATGGGAAAAATCTGAAAGAAGACTACACGTAGTACGTATATATGTAATACAATCAGCCTGTCGGCTGAGATAGCTCCGCTGTTAGCAATGCACATTTCAATAAAAGAACAGAAGATATCATTAGAAAATGAACAATATGGAAGAGGGGTCACTACTACAGTCACATGCATTTAACCTATCACAGTTGACCATTTCTGAATATGGAGGGGGAGGTCACTACTACAGTCACATGCATTTAACCTATCACAGTTGGACATCTATGAATATGGAGGAGGTCACTACTACAGTCACATGCATTTAACCTATCACAGTTGGCCATTTCTGAATATGGAGGAGGAGGTCACTACTACAGTCACATGCATTTAATCTATCACAGTTGGCCATTTCTGAATATGAAGGAGGAGGTCACTACTACAGTCACATACATTTAACCTATCACAGTTGATCATTTCTGAATATGGAGGAGGAGGTCACTACTACAGTCACATGCATTTAACCTATCACAGTTGGCCATTTCTGAATATGGAGGAGGAGGTCACTACTACAGTCACATGCATTTAATCTATCACAGTTGGCCATTTCTGAATATGAAGGAGGAGGTCACTACTACAGTCACATACATTTAACCTATCACAGTTGATCATTTCTGAATATGGAGGAGGAGGTCACTACTACAGTCACATGCATTTAACCTATCACAGTTGGCCATTTCTGAATATGGAGGAGGAAG